ATTATTATTATTATTATTATTATTATTATTATTATTATTATTATTATTATTATTATTATTATTATTATTATTATTATTATTATTATTATTATTATTATTATTATTATTATTATTATTATTATTATTATTATTATTATTATTATTATTATTATTATTATTATTATTATTATTATTATTATTATTATTATTATTATTATTATTATTATTATTATTATTATTATTATTATTATTATTATTATTATTATTATTATTATTATTATTATTATTATTATTATTATTATTATTATTATTATTATTATTATTATTATTATTATTATTATTATTATTATTATTATTATTATTATTATTATTATTATTATTATTATTATTATTATTATTATTATTATTATTATTATTATTATTATTATTATTATTATTATTATTATTATTATTATTATTATTATTATTATTATTATTATTATTATTATTATTATTATTATTATTATTATTATTATTATTATTATTATTATTATTATTATTATTATTATTATTATTATTATTATTATTATTATTATTATTATTATTATTATTATTATTATTATTATTATTATTATTATTATTATTATTATTATTATTATTATTATTATTATTATTATTATTATTATTATTATTATTATTATTATTATTATTATTATTATTATTATTATTATTATTATTATTATTATTATTATTATTATTATTATTATTATTATTATTATTATTATTATTATTATTATTATTATTATTATTATTATTATTATTATTATTATTATTATTATTATTATTATTATTATTATTATTATTATTATTATTATTATTATTATTATTATTATTATTATTATTATTATTATTATTATTATTATTATTATTATTATTATTATTATTATTATTATTATTATTATTATTATTATTATTATTATTATTATTATTATTATTATTATTATTATTATTATTATTATTATTATTATTATTATTATTATTATTATTATTATTATTATTATTATTATTATTATTATTATTATTATTATTATTATTATTATTATTATTATTATTATTATTATTATTATTATTATTATTATTATTATTATTATTATTATTATTATTATTATTATTATTATTATTATTATTATTATTATTATTATTATTATTATTATTATTATTATTATTATTATTATTATTATTATTATTATTATTATTATTATTATTATTATTATTATTATTATTATTATTATTATTATTATTATTATTATTATTATTATTATTATTATTATTATTATTATTATTATTATTATTATTATTATTATTATTATTATTATTATTATTATTATTATTATTATTATTATTATTATTATTATTATTATTATTATTATTATTATTATTATTATTATTATTATTATTATTATTATTATTATTATTATTATTATTATTATTATTATTATTATTATTATTATTATTATTATTATTATTATTATTATTATTATTATTATTATTATTATTATTATTATTATTATTATTATTATTATTATTATTATTATTATTATTATTATTATTATTATTATTATTATTATTATTATTATTATTATTATTATTATTATTATTATTATTATTATTATTATTATTATTATTATTATTATTATTATTATTATTATTATTATTATTATTATTATTATTATTATTATTATTATTATTATTATTATTATTATTATTATTATTATTATTATTATTATTATTATTATTATTATTATTATTATTATTATTATTATTATTATTATTATTATTATTATTATTATTATTATTATTATTATTATTATTATTATTATTATTATTATTATTATTATTATTATTATTATTATTATTATTATTATTATTATTATTATTATTATTATTATTATTATTATTATTATTATTATTATTATTATTATTATTATTATTATTATTATTATTATTATTATTATTATTATTATTATTATTATTATTATTATTATTATTATTATTATTATTATTATTATTATTATTATTATTATTATTATTATTATTATTATTATTATTATTATTATTATTATTATTATTATTATTATTATTATTATTATTATTATTGTTTAATTTTTGAAGATTAATGTTGTCGTACTTTTAAAGGAATTTAATTAACATGGATAGGACTTAAGGGGAGCATACAAACCTCGCCCTCTGGACTATCAGACTCAGGGGAGGCTTACAAACCTCAGACTCTGAAGTCAACATGTTAATTAAATTAAAAATCATTATTTTTAAATACTTTTGTTTGTCATCATAAAAAATGAGGAGATTGTTGGAACAAAAATTGTTGATATCATATCCCTTGGATTTTGATAATAGCAAAGTATTTAAAGAATAATTGGATATTCTAACATCTTTTCAAGTATGCAGGATCATAAGTCTGAGAACAAATAAAGAGAAGCTTAAGGATTATGAATCTAAAATTCATACTCTGGCTCTGAAAACCACTTCTGAAGATTTTGACTCTGATAGAAGATCCAGACTCTGAAGAAGTCAACTCTAAAGAAAGTCAGCTTCTGGTGACCTAGACTCTGAAGCTTTAGAAGCCAAAAAGTAGACTCTGAAGTGATCAGCCTCTAAAGAGTGAAGTCTGAAAAAAGTCAACCTCTGAAGCAGAATCTCTTCAATCGAGGCAACTCTAACAGACTCAGAGATCTTTTGTTCATGTAAAGACTTGAGAAAAAATCTCTTCTTAGGTTTCTGAGCTTCGACAAATAATTCTTCTTGCAGAAATGTGTTTAATGAGTAGAAGTTCTGAAGAAGAAGATCATCAACTACTGAAATACAACACACTGCTACAAACTCTGCACCTTGACATTTCAAAGAGAAGTTACTTTGTCAAAAATAAGTTAGACTTAGAACATCTTAACACTTGTATATTTTAGAATTTCTTAAATCTTATAGTCTTTCTAAGCTGTGTTATGTCCACACCTCTGATTGTATATCAAGTGTAGTTGTTACTCAAATCTCTTAACAGTATGTTATGGAGTCAGAAGTCTCTTGCTTTAGTGCTTGAGTATTTAAAGTCTCTTGCATGTCTGCTTGAGCATAGAAGTCTATTACTTGACGGTTTGAGCATTGAAAGTCTCTTGTTTGTGTGCTTAAGCATTGAAGTCTCTTACTTGTGGATTTTAGTATTTGAAGTCTCTTGCTTAGTGCTTGAGCATTTGTAATCAGTTTGGTTATAATGAAAATCCCTTCGAATTGCAAGGGGGCTGGACTACTCTAAAATTGTGAGAGGAACCAGGTTCACTACTTGTGTCTTTGCTTTTACTTTAGTTGCTTTCTGAACTATTTTGTTGCTGTCAACTTTGATACTGTAAGTCAAATTCTGATTCAGTATTTGATAAGTACCTTCAGAAGTAAACAATGTTTTTTGAGTCAGACTATGAACCAAGTGTTCAGAATCTGATTAAGATTCATTTGAAGAAGAAGAAGAAGAAAACTTAAAAGGAGATAAAGTCAACACAATTCAACCTCCTTTTTGTGTTTTTTTCGCTTTCATCGTGTTCGCGTCACTGTCAAAATAACAAAAACACATAAGAAAATTAAACATAAAACCAAACCGGAACACATGTTGCAAGAGTTTCGGTGCATTAACTTTCTACAATATCAGACCACTTTGCAAAGGAGTTACGGTAAGAGTTTCCACAAACCGAAAGATATTACAAATGAGTTTTGGTGTTTAGCATAAAAATTGAAAGTGGAGTCCTAAGAATTCCGATGACATTATAAGACCGGACGACTTACCGATAAAGTTCCGGTTTCGGAAGAATTGCTTGAAGAGTTCTAGGATAAAAAAAATTCAACTAGATGGAACACTTGAGAAATGTGAGCGAGGAAAAGTGAAAATTTCTTTAAAAAATAAAAATAAACTATTTATATTTATATGAGAGCATTTTGGTAATTAAAAAAAAAAAGTATAATATAAGAGTAGGAAATAAATGATGGGATATGAATATATTTTTCTCATAATATCCATTTAACCCTCTTAAATTCCACTTAAGTCTTAGGCTTTGAGATCTTATCACACCCCACTACATGACATTTTTGCTCATTATTTATATCTCCCTAAATAAATTTTTACTACATTCTTTGAGTTTCTTCCAAACAAGACTTAAAGATAAATGTTGTCATCATTGGATATATGAGAATAGCTTTCTAACACATTTTTATCCAAAGTAACCCTCCCAACAAAAAGATACTTAGTTAGCTTCCCAAACTATAAGTTTAGAACTATGTTGCTCAATGATATAACAGTATCCTTCTTTCTTAGGAGCTCTTCATGTTAAGTGTCAACCAACACCCTCAAATGATATAACAGTCCTGAAAAATCCACCTTTATAGCAAAATCCGTTTTCCTGCCACTGATGTTATTCATATTGTACACCATTTACTGCATCACCACTTACTTTTCCCCAACACATCCAGATTAAAAATGTGACATCAACAAAGGAATGCAATTCTTGAACCTCTTAATAATCCCATTTACTTTATAAATTGTATAACACAAAAAATAGATCGGAATTGATTCACAAACTCCGATTGAACAACTACAAAATTTAGGAAAATGTCAGTTTGATTCATAATGTATAAATTTTTATAATTTTCCCTAACATTTGGAAGAAAACATACACACATCCCCCACAACATTTTGCAACTTCTAGAGAAAAAAAACACCAAAAAACCATCCAGCACTAGAGCCGCCAAGCAGTGTTTTAAAAACCAGATTGGACCGACAGTGTTAGAATACCCTTTAGATTTACTAAGTGCATCAAGAAATTTGGTTCTAGTACAAGAAATAAACTATTATTTTGGCGCAATAAATTCTGCTTTTGACTACAGAAAGTTTAGAGCATAAACCAGGGTAAACCAAAAATCACATAACCAAGATTTTTATACTCAATGACCTAAAACAACTTACACTGCCACTAATAGACATAACATCAATTAGTAATATAACTTCCAACTTTGAGTTTGTCGGCAGCTAAGACATATGAGACAGGAACCAATCTCTTTGATGGATCGTGTGAGATTTCTCCCTCAACTTTAGCAGCTCCCTCGTCACTAGATTGATCATCCTTACTTTCAACCTCAATTGGTTTATGCTTGTTCATCCCGGCGTACACCATTTTTCTGACTTCTTTTCGTGCTTCCCTTTCGGCTAATCTCAAATCTTTAAAGCCCTGTTCAAACTTCTCTTCATCCTCTGGCAAAAAGAATACAACCTCCTTCGTTCCAAGTTCTTCATACAACTTCTCAATCTTCGCCTTCCACAAGAGGCCTAATTCTGTGTCCATTTTGTGATAAGGAGTCCTTAGCAAGTATTCATCAATTCCACCTGCCTTGTCTATGCAACGAAGAGCGTGAGTGGTGACTTTAACACGAATGTGACGATCTAGAATATAACTAAAGAGCCTTTTGTCCTGGACATTAGGTTTCCAAGTTCTCCTTGTCCTATCAAAGCCATAAGAAAAAGAAATGAATTTGCATCAATATTGCAGTCTTCTTTCTCTCTCTCTCCCAAATATGCAATACAAAGTAAAGGAAACTCCCAACACAAATTGAGCAGCCAAAAGTTAACATCAAAATTCTAAATTGAGTTATGGTCACTAAACCAGAAAACATAATCTTTCTTGTTTTATCATGCAATTACTGTAATATGACAGGCAAGAACATGCAGGATATCACGATATTGCAAGCAGCACTGTTGAGATCCATGTCCAATCTAACAAATATAGGCAACAATCAAATATAGTTCCAAAAACTGTACTAGCCAGCCATCAAGAAACTAGTATTCTTATTATCAAACATCAAAGCCGAATGAATTGAGAAGACCAATTCTTTAACAATTATAGTAGATATAAAGTATAAACCACAAAAAATGAGGTCAATAATAAAGTTTCGAACTCAATAAGAATTACAAGAATCCAAGAAATTGACAGTTTAAGCAAGTTAATGAAACCAGCCTACATCGAAAGCTGATGATTCAAAATGTTTTGATTTCCAGTCACTCAATAAGTGAAGAGAAAGCTGGCAAATCAACTGTAACTGTTCAACAGTCCTACCTAAAGGGACAGAAAATTATATTGTTTATTCTTTGCCTTGTGGATGATGAGTTCCTTGACACTTCTAATTTTCAATTTGGAACCTAAATCTTATACTGTTTGAGATACTTGAGCTGCGTAACAAAACATCATACTGAAATTTGAATAAAATTGGATCGTATGAATATAAAAGTGTCATGTGACTTGGAATTTATTTCAGCATTTGCATTCTAAACCAGATAAAGATTACTGTTAACTGAATCACTCAAATGTGAACAATTACTAGAACAGAACTGGGGTCCAGAGCAATATTTATTATATAAATGGAAAAATGCCAACGTTATTTAACAATCAAATTAATTGAGAACCATGGTTCATCCCTTATAATAGTTGGAAAAGAAGTCTACAAAGAAACTTGTACAAACTATGCAGAATATATTTAGTATAACACCAGTTAATGCAAGCAAAGTGCAAGTAAGAAAAAATCATGTAGACCACCTATGAAAACAAGAGATGGTAGAGAAAAAGCCTTGAAAACAAGCCAAGTACTCTTACAAGCAATAAAATCTGCAAGTGATAACAATGACTTGACCATAGTATTCTTTATAACGACATGTAACAGTTCTGTGTTCCACATTCCCTAATCATAGGCATCTTGTGATTGATAAGATGCTTATCACAATGATGTAACTAATCTAACAAGATGGACAATATTTTCCCAGCAGCTACCTACGATTGGGACACATTTTAGGGTTTCACGGGGGAACTTTGGTTGGCCCATGAAGCTTGAACAACTCTTAATGTTCAAGTTCAAAGGATTTTTCAAGAAGTGGTGCAAAATGTTATCCCAGTGTACTTTACCTATAGATATGTGGTTCTCTAAACAGACAGATAATCTTTCTTTCATGAAAAATTTATTAACCAGGAACTTTCTCTTTGTTGCTCTTTACGACAGTCTTTCCTTGTTAGAAAGAAAGGGGATAGAAAGCGAAAGACATTGGAAAGTTTCGTTTCCATTAATCCTGTAGCTATGGTTGTTTTCTATTCTACATAATTAGGATACCTTATACCCTTAATTCATAAATATCTTATTCCCTATGTAGCACCGAGTACTTATACAGCACTGCACTGACACTTCAGATTAAAGGTGCATCTAGTGTACTACACTAGTACATTTGCTTACATTCAATAATTCTATTTTATGAAATTATTATCAGTATCAACGTGTCATTGTCAAGTGTGCATCAGTATTTCATATGCACAGACACTTGTGATTACATAAAATAACTTCTATTTCTCAAGTTACTACATGTGTCTCTATGATTTATTGCTTCATTCCTTCACAATAAGCTATTCTTTTATCCAGAATTTGTAAATCCCTAGAAGCTAAATCATGAAAAAATCCTAACCTAATTGACAATTAGAAGCAACAAACACTAAAATCAAATGGATGAAAGAAATGAATACAAACCTGTTACCACCATCTTCACTAACACTATTACCAAACTGAATGTGTTTCCCGGCAAATAAACCACGTTTAGCGCGATTCATCACAACTTTGCTTCGAGGAAGACATTTCTCCAAAGATTCCTTCACTCGTGGAGTCAAATTCTTCTCTCCAACTTTTTTGAGAACTTTCTTCATCATTTCTTTGCCTCTAAACGCCATTTTCCTTATCAATTCACAAAAACAAAACAAAAAATTTATTAAAAAAATGGCAATGAAGGGAAAATGAATAGGAATATGTTGTCAATCACGGTGCGGTGTGGAGATCTGTGGCCGTAAATTGCGTTGGTATCGAAAAGGGGAGAAAAACCTGGAAGAGTTTAACGCTGTTTCCGGCGGCCGACGAGCAAGTACCGTTACGTTTCCGGAGAGATGAGTTGTTCAGTGCTTACAAGGCCACTGTGGGATGTGGCAGCGGCTGATTTTGTTTTTCGATGGAGCAGGTTTTATTTTTTATTGTTTTAGTTTATGAGAAAAATGAAAATGAAATATATCTCACCAAATTATGTTTTTATTTTTAAAATATTAATATGACATGGGAAACATAAAGATTTTAATTGATTATATGGGTAATAATGTTTTATACTATTTGTGTACTACTTTTTTAACTCTTATTTTATGTAATTTATTTTTAATTCTAATTGTTAAAATAGAAATGATATATTAAAACATATTTTTTACATTACACTATATTGTGTATATTATTTTCACATACTGGTTCTTATTTAATCTCTTAAATAAATAAGAGCAATTGGATAAATAGAGAGTATTAAGATTAATTTAAAAGAGAACTTCAGTAATCATAATCTCTCATTTCTGAATGCAACTCTCTCTCATCACGTTCTTCTTTCAGAAAATCAAATTCTTCCTTTAACACGATTTGTTGAAGTTTTTCAAGTAATTTAAGTGTTGTAACCCGTGTTAACCAATTACAGAAAGGCTTGATGATCATTCCAGTAGCAAAAAAGTTGAGTTTTCGCAGGTGTAACCAGTTAACCATTTTGGTGTAACCGATTACCATTGAAGCAGATTTAATTCTAATATTTATTTAGTGTCAGTTGTAATCGATTAACCACTTTGGGGTAATCAATTACAAGTACGATTTTTTGTTATCTTACTTGGTCAATTTATTCCTCAATTGTATTGTATCTCATATATAAATGTTTAGGATGTTCACTCATGTGTGTAACCGGTTACAGTAAAGCCAATTTCACTTCTGAAGTAGTAGAAAAATGAAGATTTCAAAGATGTAACTGGTTAACCTCAAGTGTTAGCCGGTTACCACTAAATGTGATTTAATTGAAGTGTCAGCAATAACCGAATAACCAAATGGTGTAACCGGTTATAGATCCGAGTTTTGCACTTTTTATGTTATGTAACGATATATTTTAAATCCTAATAATATTGCAACACTTGTATAAATACGTTGGATGCTTTCTCATCTAAGGTAATGCAAATTATTATTCTCTCTTTCTCTTTCTCTCTCTCTCTCTCTCAATTTTCCTTTTTCACTTTCCACGTTCCAATTTTCTCCACCATTGTTCACCAACCTTGTAGTTAAAAGATCCAACATTTGGCATGAAGAGTCTGGTTTTGATCCATAAACATTTAGTGTGCAACATGAATTATGTTTCCAATGAAAGAATCCTTGCAAACCCTACCCATCCTTGATGAAAAGAATTACGATAAATGGTGCAAGCAAATGAAGGTGTTGTTTGGCTACCAATATGTTATTGAAGTGATCAAGAATAAGGTTACTCTTCTTGTCCAAGGTGTAATAGATGCATAACAAGCAACACATAAGGAAGAAAAGAAGAAATATTTCAAGGTGTTATTTTTGATCCACCAATGTGTGGATGGTGACAACTTTGAGAAAGTTAGTGATTGTGAATCATTAAAGCAAGCGTGGGAAATCTTAGAGAAGGCTTATGTAGGTGCTGATAAGGCGAAGGTGGTGAGGTTACAAACTCACAAGCATCAACTCAAATTGATTCAAATGGAAAAAAATGAGATAATTAATTGTTTCATAACAAGAATCATTCGACTAATGAATCAAGTGAAGGCGTTCAAAGAAATTATCACAGAGCAATATGTTGTCACATAAATCTTGTGTTCTTTAACACCAATATTTGACAATGTAGTTGTGGCAATTGAGAAATCAAAGGATCTTATGAAGATGAGCCAATAGGAGCTGCAAAGCTCTCTTGAGGTTCATGAGCAAAAGATAAAGGAGAGAAATAATGATAAGGCCAAGCTGGAGGTCACTTTGCAAGCTCGCTTCAACGAGAAAGGTAAGAGATCAAAAGGAAAATGACCCATGAAAAGTAAAGGGAATTTTCAGAATTTTGGTGGAAGAGAGACCCAAAATTCCAAGAATTCGACTTGTCAAAGGGGTGAGAGCAGTTGCAACAAAAATGATGGTCAAGACAACTTTAGAGGTGAAAAGAAGAGGTTTTACAAAAGCAAAAAGTTGTGCTTTAAGTATCAAAGGTTCAATCATTTTGCAAGAAAGTGCAATGAGAACAAGAAGGAACCTTAAGGAGATGAAGCTAAGGTTGCAAGACAAAAGTTTCATGAAGAAAATACACTTTTGGTCATGATCATGAAAGGAGAATGCAACAGTAGCAGGCTGCAGGACAGCAGCAACAACAAGTCAAGGAATGCTGCGAAATAGATTTGTAATCAATTACATGATACAGTTAACCGATTACATGTAAAGGAAAATGCCATGATGAGCACGAAAGTAGTTCAATGCAGTGAGGAATGATATTTAGACTCAGGTTGTTCAACTTATATGATAGGGAGGAAGAATTGGTTTATCAAAATCAAGTGTGCCATGAAGAACAAAATAAAGTTCACAGATGACACTACTCTAGCGGCCGATGGGATAAGTGATATTTTGATCATGATAAGGGATGATGGAAATTCCTTGATCAAATATTTCTTGTACATTCCTGGAATCAAATGTATCCTTCTAAGTATTGACCAATTGCTTGAGAAAAGGTACAAGATTCACTGGCAAACAAGCGGTCGTGTGTTATAGATGCAAAAGGTGTTTTGGTCCTTAAAGCGCCTATGACTGCCAATAGATACTTCAAGGTTGAGTTGAAGTTTATAAAGCATAGATATCTCTCTACTGCAGCAAGTCGAAAAGAGTGGATATGACACTACCGTATTGGGCATCTCAACTTTAGAGATCTCAAAGACTTGCAAAAGAACAAAATGGTAACATGGCTGCCATCAATCAACATACTGGATGAAATTTGTGAAGAATGTGTGCAAGTGAAGAAACATAAGGGTAAATTTAGCAAGGATACAGACCGTATAACCAATAATCACCTTGAGGTGGTGTATTCAAATGTGTATGGACCGATGCAAGTAGATTCTATTAGTGGTAATAGGTACTTTGTCACATTTATTGACGATCATAGTAGAAAGATATGGACATAACTAATCAAGAGAAATGATGAGGTATTTAAAGTGTTCAAGAATTTTAAGTATGCGGTTGATAAGAAAAACGGTTACAAACTTAAAGTTCACATAACAGATGGTGGAGGTGAATATATCTCAAATGACTTTTAGAGGTTTTGTGATCAATAAGGGATTGTACATGAGGTAGTGCCACCTTATACACCGCAGCAAAACGGTGTTACCGAAAGGAATAATTGATTGATCATGAACATGGTGACAAACATGTTGAAGGGGAAGAACTTCCTGAAAGAGTTATAGGGAGAAGTGGTAACCATATCTTCCTATTTGTTGAATAAGTGTCATACAAAGAAGCTTGAGAATGCAACACCATTATCGAAGTAGAGAAACGGGAAGTGCAAAACAACCCGTCGTTGAAGCCTGAAATGAAGAAAATGTTACAAGATCAACAAGGCAAAGAGGCTTTCCTCAAAGACTCCAAGATTGTGAGCTGTTCTGAGACAACAAAGTCAATGATGATGGTGAATTTGTCCATTTTGCACTTACGGAAAAATCGGAACCCGTTAACATGAAAAAGGCTTTAAGTGATCCAAAATGGATTTATGCTATGAAGGAGGAGTTGGAACCCATTGAGAAGAATATTACTTATGAGTTGGTTGGTCTACCGGATGGGAAAATTCCTATTGGTACAAGAAGGTGCTTGTTTAAGATGTTGAAGAAGTTTGAAATGGAGCATTGTAGTGTTGTCATTACTCCTGTTGAACCAAAGCTGCAATTGTCAGAGAATGAGGATGAACAAGATGTTGATAAAACTCTACATAGGAATTTGATTGGATCCTTGCATTATTTGTGCAATACAGGACCGAACTTGGCTTTTAGTATTGGTATTGTGAGTACATTAATGGGGAGATCGAAGGTGTCTCACTTGGAAGCAATCAAGAGGATCCTAAGATATGATTTTGTTGGCTGCAGATTTCTCTTTCCCACAGCGGATACAAGCATAAAATGCAATTTTCTCGGCTTTACCTATTCCAATTGGTGCAAAGATAAAGATGACTGAAATTCTATAGCTGAATACATCATTATGTTTGGTGAAACTCCAGTTTCATGGTATCCGGAGAAGGAACCAATAGTTGCACTCTCATCTTGTGATGCCGAGTACATTGCAACTTCATTATATGCGTACCAAGTCGTATGGCTTGTGAATCTATTTGAGGAGCTAGGCAGCAGTAATGGTGAGATTGTTACACTCTTGGCTGACAAGTTTAGACGATTAATCTTTATAAGAACCCAATTACATATGGGAGGAGCAAACATATTGAGATGAGGTTTCACTAGGGAACTTGTTAGTGAAGGAAGGTTATGATTGGGATATTGCAGAAGTGAAGACCAAGTTGCTAATTTGTTGACTAAGGGAGTCACAAATGATATGTTTAAGAGGTTGAAGATGAGCATGAACATGGAAAACTTTGAGCACTTGAATTGAGGTGGTGTGTTGAAATTTATAGTTGGTAATTCAAATGTTGTAACCGGTTAACACATGTGCATAACTAGTTATAGCAAAGCTAGTTCCACTTCTGAAGTAGCAAAAAATTGAAGATTTCGAAGGTGTAACTGGTTACATGCCCAAGTTTTACACTTTTTATGTTATGTAACTGTTTGTTTTAGATCTCAATCATATTGTAACAATTGTATAAATGTGTTGGTTGCATTCTCATACAAGGTTAATGAAAATTATCATTCTCACCCATAATCCCCCCCCCCTCTCTCTCTCTCTCTCTTAATTTTCATGTTTCACTCTCCATATTCCAATTTTGTCCACCATTGTTCACCAATCTTGTGGTTCAAAGTTTTACAAAAACAACTTTTTAAAGCCTTATCATCACCTTATTTTCCAATTGCACCATGGTCTTTGTTAATATAATTCCGCACAGCTTTTTCATAAAATGGAATATCTCCATGGCCTCCTACATCTTTAACAAGTGATTGAAAAAGTATTGTTGATCCTTTCTCCCGTACCATCATTGATATGGATTATTTTCTCACGTGTAAGTTCATTTTCTAGTTGGCCTTAAACAATATTGATTTTATAGGGATAATCTCATGAGAATTGTTAGATTCAAATTGTGTAAGGTATCACAAACCATCTTTTTTTCAATTTAATACAAATCTTGGCAGAACAATTTTTTGCTCTAGATGGTAGTGTCTTTAACGTGCATAAAATTTTTGAAACTTTAGACCCCTCTCTTGAACATGAAAGTATTAGGTGGTTGAGCTCCTCATCATCTCACTTTTTCGATGATCTAATCCTCCATCCAAACCCCTTTTTCAAAGAATACTCTTGGTAATATGTTTTAACTTCCTTTAGTCAAGAAAAACACATACCGATTGTATGAACCCAACGTGAATCATCATCATCATCACTATCACTGTAATAAACTTTTACATCTTCCCCTTGAATACTACCACAATATATCAAAATTTAGAGTAACATGGGGAGGGGCCACATTAGCTGTGGTAAAAAAATTCTATTTCAAAAGAAGTGAAAGGAACTAGATCCCCAAAATCATAGACAATAGGGAGGTTGAGGTAGAAATAAATATCAGATGGATCACCAAAAGTGTCCATATTTGTCCTCTCATCCCTAGACCAATGCTCTAAGAGCACATCCATCTCTCGTCCCGTGCTGGAAAAACCGATGCCATGATGAAACTTGTCGACCTTGTCCATAATAGAATACAAAAAAGCTATATCTTGCACGTGGATGAACGTAGTTTTCCTTACCATGGTCGGTAAAATTAAAGGTTCAAGAAAATGAAGTCAGATACAAAAAGTTTTTTTTAAAGAAGGATGAAGAAGTGAAACAATGCTTCTGAAAATATATAAGAAGTCCAAAGAAGTTGGCTCACACATTCACCCAATTGTTTGGCGCCAGAAGCAGGAAAGTTTCCATGTATGGATGCCATGTGTGAATACGGGAAATTGATTTGCCTTCCTGAGAAATACCATAATGAGGTGCATAAATGTTACCCATGTATCTTCCCCTCAAACACTCAATCTTGCCAAATTGACAGATGTTTGGATGTCTCGGCAAGTCACCTCAAAACAGACACATTTCCTCAAGTCTCTTAAACGCCCATGCCACACGGGCGCCCACGAGCCCGTACGCCTTTGGCTAAGGGACTCGCCTATTATTCTAGTTTCCCTTCAATAAGAGACTTTCCTATGTGAGGAGTGCCACCCAACAAAACCCATCTCAGTCAAGGGAATCGTCGATGAGGCGAGGGACACTTTTCGAAAAGGAAAGTGATTTTAAACACTTCGCTCTTTAGAGAAAAGTCCTCGTGCTTGAGGGACCATGTGATGTTATATTTGGTAAAATTCTAAACTAAGACACCCTTGCCCAACAATTGGGCTGCCCAGACGAAATCCAATGGAATCACCCAAGAGGTCCTACCATCGTGGGAGTTAAGCAAGAGAAAGTCCCCCGTTGACTCCGAGAAAATAGGTGGTCAATAACCTCCTATAATAAAAGAGGAGCGATTAAGACCATGTCCAGGAGGTAAAAATCCTAGGCATCGGGAACTCATATAAATATCGTATCTCTTAAGTGGATAAACAGACTCTCAAATCATAGACATTCTCCACTACTAAAAAAGTACTACACTCCAAATAGCCGTAACACACCATCAACCTAATCGCCCGCCTACAACCCAGAAGCGTTACCACCGACAGGGTCTCTCACCTCATGTGAGTTGATCTCTTAAATAACCTAAAAATCACCACACAGGGTTTCTCGCCACCGTGAACAAGCCATCAAGTATCTAAATTTTGATACATCTACTAAGGTCTCTGAGTCTCCATGCCCTCGCAGAAGAAACATGCACACCTTGTACTTTTTGACCAATACATATTACATTACCAACTTATATGCTCAACCTCATGTTTATTTATACACAAGTAAGAGCGAAAGTCTTGAGTTGGTAAAAACAACTAAAATGAAATATAAACAAAAGTGGTACGTGAAATGTTGATGTATATGATTTAAGATTATGAACAAGTACATAAAAGAAGTTATGAAAAATTAAGGATTAATTATAATTTTAATACTTTATATTTAAATTCATTCATGAAATTTGTCTTCTATTTTAGATTCAAATAATTTTAACCCTTACAAATATTTGTACTCACAATTCATACTTTTTCTCCATATTTTTAATAAAGTGTCACTTGGTAGATATGACAAGTCATATGATATAAATCTTTGTGAAACATGATAACACACCAATAAAATAAATTCATCATCATTTTTTATGATGTTTTTGTAGGTCAATTATATGCGAGAATTTGTTGAGAATAATAATATGTCAAGTGTGAGTTAGAGTCCCACATTGATTATAAATATGGAGAGTTGAACATTTATAAGTGGGAGAATCCATACACCTATCACCTTAAGATTTTGGGTGAATATGTGGCGTCTCTCTTACTTGTGTTGCTCTTGGCCTAATATTCAATGCTACCTAGTGTAAAACTCCTCTAACATGGTATCATGAGCCGATGGTTCAAGTAAGGGACCGACTCCTTGTGTCAAAAGTCTTCCTAACATGGTGGTAAGGCGACATGTTCCGTTGAAGTGCCTATGACGAGATATGTGGTATCTCTCTCACTTGTGTTGCTCTTGACCCAATGTTCAATGCTCCCTAGTAAAAACCCCTCAAACAAATGGTATCACGAGCCTTTGGTTCGTAAAGGAACCGACTTACATGTATCGAAATGCTCAGGAAGTGGCGTTTAGTTGAAATCGAATGCACAAGAAGAGATATATCGAAATGCCCAGAGAGCTGCCTAGTAATAGGTGTCAATGGCTGACCCAATGTTCAATGCTCCCTAGTAAAAACCCCTCAAACAAATGGTATCACGAGCCTTTGGTTCGTAAAGGAACCGACTTACATGTATCGAAATGCTCAGGAAGTGGCGTTTAGTTGAAATCGAATGCACAAGAAGAGATATATCGAAATGCCCAGAGAGCTGCCTAGTAATAGGTGTCAATGGCAGTACAAGTGTACGTGGATAAGAGTTTCTAGTAATAGGTGTCAATGGCAGTGCAAGTGTACGTGGATAAGAGTTTCCACTTGAAGGGGAGTATTGTGAACTTAAACGGACGACGATACAAGTGTATGTGGACAAGAGTTTCCACTTGAAGGGGAGCATTGTGAACCCACATGGTGGTGCAAGTGTATGTGGACAAGAGTTTTCACTTGAAGGGGAGCATTGTGAACTCACACTTGAAGGGGGAGCAAACGGACGACGATACAAGTGTATGTGGACAAGAGTTTCCACTTGAAGGGGAGCAAAGCATTGTGAACCCACATGGCGGTGCAAGTGTATGTGGACAAGAGTTTTCACTTGAAGGGGAGCATTGTGAACTCACACTTGAAGGGGGAGTGTTGAGAATAATAATATGTCAAATGTGAGTTAGAGTCCCACATTTATTATAAATGTGAAGAGTTGAACATTTATAAGTGGGAGAACCTATACACCTACCACCTTAAAATTTTGGGTGAATATGTGGTGTCTCTCACACTTGTGTTGCTTTTGACTCAATATTGATACTCCTTCTCATACCCAAACAAAAATATTAAAACGATTTAAATTTAAAATAAAATAATTAATTTTATGAACGACATAAAATAAAAAAGACTAAAATTTTAATTTAACCCATTTCTTAAGATAAATATAAATCGACCATTTAAATCATTCAACACACATTCTTAATATCATTTAATTATTTCGATTTTTATTCATATATGCTACTAATAATAAATAATATTAAAACATTTCAACAACAAAAAGATTAAAACATTGCATTATAGTAAAATATATTGAATCCTATTAAATGTTTGCATAAACTACTTTGAATGGCCAAATATTAAACTCTAAAAATAATAGGAGATCTTTTTTTTTTTTTTTTTTTTAATTCTTAGACTCTTGTTCCTAATTTAATTTTGTCAAACTTTATTTATCTCTCAATCAAACTTTATTTATCTCAATCAAATTCCAATACCATCACTCTCTATTTCCCTAAAAACTAGGTGCTAACAAAAAGAAAATGTACATCCCTTAAAAAAAAAGCTCCTGTTTGAAAAAATTTGAAAAAAAACACATCATTTTCGTTGTCTAATGGATATGTCTTGAGTTGTAACAAAACAACAAAGGAAACATTTTAAAGCGCGCCCACTATATTCCTTTAAACGCAACAATTCAATTTTTCAATTTTAAATTTTAAAATTTCAAATTTGTCTCTCTCTTCTATTCCTCACTCTCTTTTACTCAAAGATCCATCTTCACTTCCAATAAAACCCTAATTCACCGAAATTCAATTTTTCTCTTTCTCTCCTCTCCCAATTTCATCTCACAAACCTTCGTGTATGGATGGCGAATGCAATTCATTGGAAAAATCGATTTTGACCGTCCAATCTGCTTCAAAGGTTCGTTCTTTCTACGCTTGTGTTATTATTATTATCATTATTCTGAAAATCTGATTCGTTTTTCTAATTTTTGTGCTTTAGATTATGAGTGAGAAACGAGTTAACACCAATCCGGGTGATAAACATGAACCCCCTCGAAAACGAGTCAAAATGAAAGATCTTGGATCCCTGGTTCATTCCTCAGGTAGTTTCATTATTGGATTGAATTTTAATTTATATGCACTTGTTTGAATAATTCAATCTTTTATGTGTAAAATTCAATATTGTATTGTTTGTTTTTTGAAATTTTGTCACAGTTACAAGAAAATCTAGTTGAACTATTATTTATTTGTATGAACCTTATTTATGTTATTGTTAATTTTTTTATGGGAATTGTTATGTTATTATTGTATGCATTTTGGACATTATTCTGGGTTTTATTGTGTCAAACATATAATTTGTAAATGTGTTTATGGTGCAGAAAAGGCGATTGGGAAAGAAAACATTGTTCAATCATCATTTGACAATGTTGAGATGTCGCAAACCACCAAGGTGCCTTTGACAGTGGACACGGATGTCTCAAAAGAAGAGCAAGATGGAAGGAGTGTATTGGGTAGCCCCAGGCTTTTGGATCTTAATAAAATTGTTGGATTTGGTGAGAAGCTTGGTAAGGATAAGGAATTATTGTCTGAGAAGCAGGAAAGAGAGCAGCGTGGTAATATTGTGAATCCGAAAGGAGTTAACGTGGATCTCAACGCAGAAGATGATACTAGCTCCGTGAATGTGGAACGAGTGAGTTTTCAGAAAGAACATGGTCATTTTAAGTCAAAGGATTTGTCTCAGAGTGGGAGCAGTACTGGACCTCCAAAGGAGAAAGATCCAATGAAGATATGGACGGAGATGAAGCGAAACGGTTTTATTTCATCTGCTCATGGAGGCATTCCGGTGCCGAAGAAACGTGGGAGAAAAAGTAAGAATGAAATTCTTGAGCAAAAAATGGAGCTTGCCAAGAGAGAACAAATCAATAGATTTACGAAAATTGCAGCTCCAAGTGGACTACTGAATGATTTAAACCCTGGGATTATTAATCATGTAAGAAATAGAAAACAGGTCCATTCAATTATTGAGGCTCTTGTAACTGAAAAACATGAAAATAGGAGCAAACAAGAAGCACATCGAATGAGTGGAGCTATAGACATGACAAAGAGAGACCTAGAATGTGTGAATGAAGATGGGACCTTTCATGGGTCTGCAGGTGGTAGACAAGCACGGAAGAGTCAGACAACAAAGAATGATTCCTCGTGGATCTTGGAGGGTAAAGATTGCGATCATGACACATACAGTCTAGAGAAAGCTGGTCTTAAAGACTGTATATCAAATGCAAGTCATGTTACAGAAGATGATATTTTATCGCTGAAATTGTCATCTTCAATGAAGGCATCAATGAGTTCCACCAGTATGTCAAATGAAGAATCATCAAATGCTACTGCAGTTTCATCTCTTTCTCTAAAAGGCTCGTCGTCATTTTCCTCTTGCTATGCTTCTTGTGTTAAAAGCACTTCCTGTAATAATGCATAATAAATGGAAGGCATTGGTTCTTTTATGTTATTGGGTTTGAAAGCTAGTGATGTATTAATGTCATGTAATGAGTACCATAAAACGTTGTCACAATATCTGTTTTTCAGCTGATATAGAAGCTTATTGAGCCTTTACTGATACAGATGCTTCTATGTTTTCAGCTGCTACTGTTGCTTCTCAATGGTTGGAGCTTCTACATCAAGACATCAAAGGGCGTCTTTCGAGTAAGGCCATATTTATTCATTCTTTTAACAATATTTGGATGTTGAATATGCTTACATTTGGTTTTTGTAATTTTTTTACATTTGCAGCTCTGCGTCGCAGTCGGAGGAGAGTTCGATCTGTAATCACTACTGAGTTGCCTTTCCTTATGTCGAAGGAATTTGCAGATAACCAAGGTTATGATCCTTGTGGTATGAATATTCCTGCAGGACTCCCCACTAGTAAAATAGCAGAGTTGCATCAGGCAAGATGGACTGCTTTGTTTGATCATATGGATGAAGCACTTTCAGAAGAGGAAAAACAACTTGTGAGTGCAAACATGTATAATTATTTTGTCATTGTCTTAATGAGTGTTTTAGGTCAAGCCATGCCATTTTCGAATGAGAAAGTACTAAGGGATATGATCTGACACAAGGTCAACATACAAAAATAATAAGGACGTGTTTCGTTTGTTCATATGTTCTTTTCAGTTTTATCTTGGAAAAAATAAGATGGAGCCACTTTGTTTTTGTTCTGTTACCTATTTTTGAAGTTTTGTGAAGGAGATGATGAAAATGGACTATCTTTTTTACCATTTCCCTTTCAAAAGTTTGAGAAAATAGAATCAAAATTGAGTAACATAGTTGCAATTATTAATGGAAACATGTCAACTGAAAATAAAAACAAAAAGTCAAGTTGAATGCACATCTTCCTATTGAATGCACGTCTTCCTAGGAATGCTTGTTATATGCATTGCTTAGGATCTTGTTTATTTGGATTTCATAGAACTATCTCTTTTCTTTGGTATGGGTGGATACAAGAGGTGTCCATTGTCAAATTGGATACCTAGTAAGATTCCAAGTTACTTTTCACATTACAGTGATTTATGATATGCAATTGCCAAGAACAATTTGGTCCTCTCTCTCTTTGTCTAAATCTTATTTGGACCTGTCTGGTTCATAATTTCAGGAAAGTTGGTTGAATCAAATAAAAGACAAGCAATTGCTATGTGATCAGGGCCTGCAACATGTTAACTGGAGTAAGGCTTCTGGTTTACAACAGTCGGCAACTTCAGAAAATCACTCTAGGTAAATTTTTAATTGCCTTATATAAGATTATATATTATTGATGTAATGATGTTGGACTTGGCTATGAAGCACAAACTCCACACGGACACTGGAACTGGACACCGATAATTTCAAAAACATAGAACACCAACACCATACATATACGATATACAATAGTAGTATTTGATGTCTTTAACCTTTTATTGATAACATTGCCTCAATCCATGTTTAATCTTTTTAAATGTGTGAGAATTGTCCAAAATAATGCATGACATGTGTTGAAGCAAAGGAAAACATTTTTTTTTTGAAACACTTGTCTAAATTGTCCAACATGTATTGTATGAGTGTCATATGTCATATGGGTTCCGGACATTGATTCATAAAGTGTCAAAGCAAATAATTTTTTTTGGGGATACTTGTTTTACTCTTCCAACACGTGTTTGACTTTTCCAACATGTGTTGTATGGGTGTCATACAAATGTAGGGCACCGACGCATGTTGGACACCGCGACACGCCTACACCGAGAGGTGTCAGTCAGTTCATTATTTGAGGGATTTTAGAACAGATTGGTCTGTCACATTAAGTGATGAAAATTTGTATTCTTTAGGTCTGTGAGTTGGACAAGTGATAGGGCAATATTGAAGAGATAAAAAGACATACACACGGTTTTCATTGATTTTACAAGTAGACGTATGATGAAGAAAGTACCAAGAGAAATTTTGTTGAAAGCCTTGGACATGAAAGGTGTTAGAATTGCTTTGCGGGCCACATCACATTGAGGTTGTGGCAGTGTCTGCACCCGCATTAGGCTGTAATATTGAGGTTTAGGTAGTGTCTGCACCTGCATTAGGCTGTATTATTGATTGAGGTTGCCCTTGCAGCAGTGTGTGCACCCACATTAGGTTGCAATTGCACTGTAATTGTCTCAGACTCACAGTAATTACGACATTGTGACGCTGCAATGTAGTAGAATAGCCACATCAAGCCGCAACAGATTATGCAGTGCTCACAAAAATTATTTTCTAGCCTCTTGTTCCTTCATATCATAGGTTTATGGTGTATTTTAAAAGGATTAGAGATTTTTATATGATGGAGAGTTGATATTGAAAGAAATAGGAGATTTTAGAGAGGAAATAAATCACATGGGTTGAGATGACTAATACATTATAATATTTTATGATAATAAAAAATAAATTCATGCAGAAACAGCAACAACCACTGTTTGCATCATAACATTTACAATGTCCGCAATCACAGTGGCCCCAACTGCTGCCACAATTTTAAACCATGATTCGTGATATCAAGTATGTGTATTGGATGTACTTATGGAACACATTCATGAGACAACACTGCGACAAATGTTTTTTTTTTTTTTGAAGGTGATATAGTTATACATGTAGAGTTGAGAGAGGAAATCAATGAGAGGATAGAAACTTGAGATCATATCATACCATAGCTCATATTCAGTGAAACTAATTCTCTCTATTGAAAGATAAATTTGGTAAAACAGTTTGGGTTTGTTTCTGTATACAATTTGGGTATAGAATACTCTTCCAATATATAAAATGTTATTTCTGTTGTGCAACGCCTTAGTGACAATTATGACCGATTTTGATAATCGTGAACGTGCAGATCTTCACAAGTAGACAACTCAGAGAAAGAGTTAGCTGTTAATGCAGCAGCAGCTTCCATATACTCAACATGCAATTTTCTACTGTCAGAGTTAAGTTGCATTTGACATTGAGTCTAACGCTGTTGTTGTTGTCAATTGCTGAACGCGGAAAATAACAGTTCACATATTGCTATGCTACAATGCTATAGCGCTTTTATAGCCGCTATTTGGAAGCACTTTGTACGAAACAGTGTATTGTGGAACAATGATGATTTGTTCAGATTCTGCATTGCTATAGCGCGATAATGCCTGCTATAGCCCCTATTTCACAAGACTAGTCATATGTACAACTGATTATGTTGGTTGTCTTTTTTCTTTTCTTCTTAATGAGTTGAGATGGTTGTAGCAATTGCTGAACAATTGTAGTTTAGGTTTTGGCATATGAACAAGTTTTGATACTTGTTTTGATTGTAACTCTAGCTGTCGAATTTATTTATTCTTCACTGTTGTCGAACTTTTCTACAGAAAATCTATCAATAATAATTGCAAAATAAACCAATATTATTGGTCTCTTTCTCAAGAGTGATATTTTTGACATTTTTTTCTTCTATTTTGCCAAATTGGAGAAAACATGGAATTGAGGTGTTGAGATTTGAAATGAAAAATGAAAAATGATAGATAGTTTAAAGTTACAGAAAAGTGTTAGATTTGTCAATACTAATAAAATGTTTGCAGTTTCTACATAAAACTATTGAAAAATTCAGATACATGAGTTTTGGTGTGATGTGCGTATTTGTTCACGTGTATAAATTGATATATTAGTTGATTCCTATTAATGTAAAAAAAGATTGATGGAGTTACTTTAAAAGGAAGACACACAAACACTAAAAGACCAATGAATATTACTATCAAAAATGCGATGTTATCTGTCACTTGTTTTGTTTTTGACCTACAACCGTCAGATAACTTAGAATATAAGTAGACCAAACAAGCGTCTTCCAGTTGTACTTGTAGAAGACATTCACTTAAGTGACACTTTTGTCTATAAAAAAAGGTAGTGCCGACCAAACATAACAGTTATGCTCTCATAGCATATGCTTTATGTTGCCTACCTTCTCCTCATCACCAACAGTTTGCTCTGCTCTAACTAGCTCATCCGTATATATTGCTCTGCTCTAACTAGCTCATCCGTATATATTTCATTCAAGAATTGAAACCAAACATGATCCCATCTGGTGACTTCAAACTCCCTCAAGGCAGTGTCTATGTCAACTCCCAAACAATCTACCATCAACTCAGGTGCCTCATCTCTGCTAATCCTCTCATGATCTAAAACCCTCTTCCTAATCAAAAGATGCAACAGACACGATACATCATTCAATGTGATAGACATTTCAGCAAGTGGTAGATGAAATGATGAGGTCTCAGTATGCCATCTCTCTATAAATGCATTAAGCATCATGTGGTTCGCCGTAACATAACCAGTCTTGCATAAGTCATTCATCTTAGATAGCTGTAAATCATCCTGAAACCACTCATCAGTAGGCTGGTGCAAGCTAGTAATCTTTCATCCATGGTTAATGAATTTCAGCGGATCACAATCCTGCAGAAAAATAAATCATCGTGAGAAACATGTAATATAATAATAAACATAATTTTAAAAAAATAAATTCAACTAATTTTACCTCTCCGTCCCAGACGTGTCTGACAGTATGATCAATGTAAAGAGGCAACATTGATAACTCTAACGAGCCTCCTCCAAATAGCTCGGTTGCCTCATCAGCATGAGATCCCTCTGATGCTTAGGGTGGCACTAGTGCCTCTAGTGAGTGAGGTACCTCCGGTGACTCGGGTACCTCTGGTGCCTGACCAGGTGAAATCTGTCGCCTATGGGAAGATGGAGATAGTGATGTGTCACTAGGTGACACCCGTCTCCTACGAGAAGAAGATGATGAAGATATATGAGCTCCAGAAGTCGACGTCTCCTCATCAACCGAGCCAGAGGGAACAAGATATTGTGAAACCTGACTTTTTTCTCTCTTGACAAATGCATGCCGTGCAATCTTGCCATGCCTAAATCTATCATCTCTATCAACTATAATGTTTGTAAGTAAACCAGACAAGTGTCACACAATTACTACAAACAACCATACAAGCAAGAAAAAAAACACAGATTGATAAAATACAAAGATTCATCTCTAATTCCTGGAAATTCAAACTTTGAAAAATACGGAGATGCATATACATATTTTCTTGCAACTTTCATTTTCGTCAATGGCGCTAACGCAAACTACCAAGAGCCAAAAAAAATAATGCATTGACAATTACTTTTAACTATGAAGCACATTTCTCATAATGTATCAACTATCAAACATGCATAAATTATGTATTTCAATACCTGATAATCAATTTCTACAAATTTATACGAAAACTAAAAAAAGTTTACAATGATAAAAAACTTATAAGTGAGGAATATTTGAAGTTTATGTAGTTAGTGTTGTTTGAAGAAACTTTGACGTTTCTGATTGATTTTGAGATATTTTTAGAGAAAATTTTGTTTTTTTAATTAGTGAGGAAGAAGAAGGTTCTGGCACGTTATGTACAAGCAGCGCTCGGAGATTTATCTCCGTAATGTTTATGAAGACGCATCTCCGTAGTTTTTTCACATTAACTCAGACTTCTATTGAATTAGGGTGCATCTGAAGATGCATCTCCGTAGTTTTTTTCACATTAATTCAGACTTCTATTGACTTAGGGTGCATCCGAAGATGCATCTCTGAATTTTTTTGGAGAGGGGGGGAGGGGGGAGGACAATTTTGTATTTTTTAGGGGGGGGGGGGGGGGGGGGGGAATGCACTAGTAATACATAAGGTGTATTAAGAAATTTCTAAATAAAACTTACTTTGTAAAAGAATTATAATTGGAACATTTGCAAGAAATAAAGTTAGAATAAAGAAATTGAGACGGGCTTTGTGCTGACAAATAATATCTAAGGGTGTGTTTGATTTGCTAAAAAATGATGGATCGGACAATACAAAATTATTTGTCTAACATTTGACTTAAAAAATAAATAAAGGAAAACACAAATAAAAGAATGAGGGACATGAAAATTACCCATTTTTTATTACCCACTTAAATACTGGACAAAAAATTGTCCCATGTACAAATAAATTAAAAATACCATATTATCCTTCAATTTCTCACTCAAAAACACAATTTCTTTTAAAACCTAACGACAGAGTTTCTTCTCTCGTCACAAACTGCAAAGCGAGATGTCAATTAATTCTTTGGTAACCAAACATCTATTTCTCTTTAATTCATGGTCATGTATTATGTTTTATTTATTACTTTTTCTTGTTTGTTAAATAAATAGTAATTGTGACTATGATGAATATACTTTACAAACTTTTCATAACTTTTCTATTTTTTTGGTCCTATTTTCATATAACAACTCCACTCATTCATATTCTAATATTTACGTTTTAAATTTAGAATTTATATTTATATTTTAGTTAATTGTTTATGCTATTTTTATTCATTGTTAATTTTTTAATTATTTTTCATATGTAGTTAAAATGGATAATAAACAAAATTTTCATTAACTTCTTATTTGGAGGATGTATATTCTGTCATACACCATGTTGGTTATTTTTTCTTAACTTAATTTTCAGTGATAATTATGAGAGAAATTTTTTGAATGAAAGAGATTTAGCTAGGTATGAGTTACATAGGGGTGTTTTGGAATGTATTACTAACACAAGTGATTCTCATTGCATATGAGAATTAAAATGAGAATTAAGAATGTGTAGAAACACATTTGCACATCTTTGTGAGGTTTTAAGGATATGAGGATGATTAATGCAACTTGGACAAGTAAGCGTTGAAAGAACAAGTTTCAGTGTTTTTAAATATACTCGCATGTCATACAAAAAATAGAAGTATTCAAGTTAGATTATCTAGATCAGGACAAATAATTAGTAGATATTGTCATAGAGTGTTAGCCGTGGTCTTGAGAATACAAAATAATTTACTTGGAAAACTAGAACCTATACCTCAAAATTGCTCTATTGAAAGATGGAAATGGTTTAAGGTAATAATTTTTTCCTAGTTACCTCAATATATTCTTCTAGTTAAGCAACCAAATTTGAACCATTTTTTGAAATTTTAGGGATACTTAGGAGCTTTAGATGAGACTTACATAGCAGTCACACTAAGTGTTTTTGGCATATTTAAATATCGTACAAGAAAGTGTGGACTTGCAACAAATGTCTTAGGTGTTTGTACCAGAGTTATGAGATTTATATATGTATTAGAAGGATGGGAAGGACCTGCTTCAAATTCTAGGGTATTACGTGATGCAATAAATAAACAAAATGGATTAATGGTTCCAATCGGTTGCCAACTTCTCTTTTTAGTTTGTTTGATCATGATTACAAATAATGAGTTATTGTTAGTATTTTAGGTTCATATTATCTTGTTGACCGTGGATACACAAACAGTGAAGGCTTTCTTGCCCTATATAGAGGTAAACAATACCATTTACAAGAGCGAGACACTGTTGGTTGTTCATCTTAAGATCGTGAAGAATTATTTAATTATAGGCATGCTGGGCCAACAATGTGATAAAGAGATGTTTTGGCCTCTTGAAAAAATGATGAGCTATATTGAGAAACCCGTCAGTTTATTCTATTAGAACACAATTTTGAATGATCCTTGCTTGTTGTTTTTTGCATAACTTCATCCGTGTGAACATGACAATGGATCTAGAAGAATTTTCTCCATTTGTAGAAGATTAGGTACCTTTAGGAGAAGAAACAATCAATATAGTGGACAATATTAAACCTAGCAATCAATGGACTCAAAGGAGGGATGTACGCATAAGAGTTGTTTACAGAATGGAGGAATAGACATATGCATTATATATAACTAGTTTACTAGATATGCATGAATTGTGAACTTAGTACTATGTTATTGCATAATTTTTTCTGGATTCTTTTATGTTTAGAATAAAGTTGAATTTATTAGTGTGTAATTGTCAATATCTTTATATATTTTTGAATATTTTATTAGATTTATTTTATGTTGTTGCACCTGTGAAGGATATAGGGTATTGCAACATTTTTTTT